TGGCTGCCGGCCGCCATCTTGGCTGACAGTTAATTTGCATAAGGATATGCTGATTAGCCAATGAGAAGGGTAGCGGTCGTACGCCAATTACCATGTTTCTCTTTTATTAGTGTATATATATATATATATACACACACACACACACACACACACACACCCCTTGTGCATTTCTGTTGGCTCTGTGGACAGTTGTCTTAGACTTCCTATGTCCGTTAAATAAACCTTTTTACTGTGTTGGTCTCTGACTTCTGCTTCGTATCGGGCCAGCGCTGCCCTCCCTGACGGTCAGGGCGTGGTCAGGGTGTGTGTTCCCCTCCGCCCCCCTGCAGGCGGAGTCCTGGCGCCCCCGGGATCCCGGCTGGGACCTGCACATCCGATACCCACCCTCCACGTTTCCAAAGGTGCCGCTGGCGGCCCGCGCCGTGTCAGGCTCGCCGTCTTGAAGAGCTTCTGCGAAGGGATGGCAATGAACACAAAACCTCTGTCCTCGAGACCCCTGCGCCATGGAGGACAGAGAAGCGGGGCCGGAGCCACCTGTGCGGAGTGTGGGGCGGGCGTGAGAGAGAGGCGCTGGGGGATAGAGAGGAAGGAAGCTCCGAGGGTCGGTGGGCCCTGGCGGCGGCGCCCGGAACCACAGCCGGAAGGGGTGAGCCCTTGGGAGCCAAGCTGGTGACCCTGGAGGAGGCGAGCTGTCCAGCCCGGCTGCCCCGAGCGCCTGGAGAACAGCAGGCTGGGATGAGATAGAGGTCCAGCTGCCAGGGAGTTTGCACTGCACCTGGTTAGTGGTTGGGAATCTTTATAGCATTTCAACTAGGGTAGCAACATGATGAAATTTAAGTTACAGGCAGAAAACCCTACAGGTGATTGAGACTCGAGGCAAAATATCTGCTTGGTGGTTATTGCAAAGTGGAAGGGTGCAATTTTGAGGGGCTGAGCAGAGGCAGTAGCTGCAGCTGTAGGTCTAGAAAGGAGAGGACTCCTTTGAGAAATGTTTAAGCTGTAGGAGAGAGGACTTGGTGGCAAGGTGTCGAGAGTAAGGAGCACTTCTAGGGTGACGGCAAGGCCTTCGGAGTCAGACATGCCCAGGTGTGCAAGTGTGCGTCTGTCACTTGCTATTTGTGTGACCTTAGACGCGTTACTACGCTTTTAAACCTAATCTGAGATAGAAGAATGATAATATACATATGGTGGTTGTGAGATTAAATGGGGTTTTATGTATATAATAGGTTATATAAAAGGGGGGTTATGTATATAGAAGGTTAATGAGAGGAAGATTCTGAGATCCGTTTGGGAGGCGTTCGGTGTAGGATGCCTGCAGGTCATCTAGGGGATGGTATTTAGAAGGTATTAGGAGATAAGGCCCTGCCTTGGGTTCAGGACAAAGTCTGTGAGGAGATACAGGTGAGGTAAGGGAGGCCTAATGGAGCCAGTGAAAACAGTGTGTCAGGGAATGAGGGAAGGCAGCCGTCACGTGCTGGGAGAGGGAGCTTTATCTTACGTTGGCTT